TATTCTAACAAAAGATCCGGTTGAAAAATAGAAAAAACAAAACCCAAAATATTTCAAAATTAGTATGTACAATTTATTGTTTAGATATTTCTAAATGTAAGGCATAATGATAATTATTTTAAATTAATTATTTTAGTTTAATTCATAGTAAATATAAATCTTTGTAACATCTTATCTCGTTTTAAAAAATTTTGAAATAAATTTTCGTTTTATATTTCAAAATACTTAACCCAAAATTCTAAAATTGAATTTCTTTATCTATCACAAATTATGATTTTTTTATTCATGATATCAAGCAAGTTTTATGATTTTTTAAAATTTTAAAATAAAACTTAAGTTCCAAAATGTTAGTTTAATAATATTGTATAATTTGATATCAAATCTAAGTTTTTTAATTTTTATTGGTTAACAAATTTTAAGAAATAAATTTTAATTTTTCGCCCATAATTAATAGGAAAGAGAAAGTGAGTTTAATTTTGGGAAACTAATAATTACTTAAAAGAATATTACCAATTTTTATATTTAAATATATTAATTTTGTGATTACTATTATTTATATCCTTAATAAATTTATTTAAAAACACTAACAATCAATGGCATTCTATGTAATATTTTACCCTTCATAAGGTTGTTTATTTTCAATGATTCCCAATTAATAGTATAGATACTTTAAACGTTTATATCATTTAAATTCTAATTAAAATGTTAAATATATACTTGAACCATTTTATAGATAATTACAAATCTAAAATTCAAAAATTCTCTTTTGAATATGCTAAATCATAGTTTAAATTTTATGTGTACTAATTAGAAACAATTAACATAGTTTTGTTAAGGAAAATGTATAAAATCTAAACTAAATGAGAATTTGTTATTAAATTAGATTGAAGTTTCCGAATTATCTAATAACATATTACCAAAATAAATAAGTTTACATATATACAATTCAAATTAAAATAGCCTGATATGTTATGGAAATGTTTTTAAATGATTTCCGAAAATATTGTGTAGATATTAATTTATTGATTTAATTCATTTTTTAAGCAAAATTCAAGATATTTATTTAGTTGGAGTAATTGTTAATTTACAAAATTACCCATGTAAAAAATTTATTTACTTAGTTTTTAATTACCTTTACAATGTTGTAGTTCACACAATGCTTCCCAATTAATAGTATAGATGTATGAAATAGGTTTTTTCTCTTCCAAATATTTTACGTTCAAGTAAAAGTATTTAATTTTGGCAAGTAACAAAGCGGGTCAAGTAACTTGCAAGTAATCAAAATTTAGACAAGTACTTGGTAGACCAAGTACTCGATTTAACAAGCCAAGTAACAAGCCAATAATCCAATTACTTGTACAAGGCAAGTCGGGTCACAAGTACCTTCAATTTGGCAAGTACTTGCCTTGTGTCCACCCCTAGTAAAAGGACTCTTAACAGACACAAAAATAATTATTTTATTGTAATATTATTATATAATCAAATTTTTAATTTAGAAAAAGTGAACCAATGTATGAAAGACATGTGGTTTAGGTGTTTAGTTGAGTATTAAGAACCCCTCTTCATTCTCTTATTTAAGAGACTTTTTTCATTCGTTTTCTTCTTTTTTCCATATTTTATTTTTTATTATTTGTTAAGAACCCTATTCATCTTAGAACCTCCCATTCTCTTATTTTTATATTATTATTTCTTTTGACTGGTTCTCCCGCTACCACCTGCAAACGCAGCGTTTGGGGGTTGTAGCGGTTGTTAGTGATTGACAACAATCATACAAACCGTTGAATATAACTTCGGATCCCTCGAAGTCGCTAGAATTCAAAAGCTCCTTTCCACAAGCTTTTGCTTTTGCATACGATAACAATTGGATTAAAAAAAGAAAGAAAGATTATTTGTAATTAAAATATGATATATATAATCCTGTAAATATAATTCTTTCATCCTTGTATCACGTTTCTAGAAAGCTCTAATTAATATTCTGTAATCTTATTCAAATTATGTCTTCCACCCTAACTGATGATAATCAAGAATCAAACATAAGTATCATCTATCTTTTTATTCATTCGTGAGCTCGTGTAACTCTTTGAATATTTTTCATGTTATCGTTTTTTATTTTGTATTGTTTTGACCTTTTTGATTGAATACATGTTTCAATTTGTTTTCTCAAGTTGAAACTCGTTTGGTTAGACAGAGATAACTCATTTCTTGTAAGAATTGATAAAACTAAAAAACAAGCTGGAAATTCTAGAGGCTAAAGTTTGATTGAATAAAGTACTAAGCAACTAATAACAAAATTTCTTTATTTTTGAATAATTATTTAGTACTTTATTTATGGTTTTATTTATTAAGCATGTTTAATTTTTCTAATATTATCATAATAATATAATGGTGTTTTATACCTTTTATAGTAATATGTTATATTTAATTTGATCATTTTTTATTTAAATGCAACCGCACCCGCTGGTTTACCAGTCATAAAACTTCCCCAAACGCACACATTTTCAAACGTGATATACCTCGATTGTCACTGCTTTTAACTATAATTTAGGTATAGTTTTAGAGTCCTTTTGTTATTTCTAGAGTCTTCTATAGTCCTTTTCAGGTTTTTACAAGTTTGGGACGTATTTGGAGATAATAGAGCATTCTGGAGCAAAACAAAGATTTTATGCTCCAAAAGAAATCCGGAGACCACAAACCGCGCAGGTGTCGATCGACACCAATATCTGACGACAATTCAAAGACGCGTTTAATTGAAGTTATGAAGATTTCCAAATTTGGCCAAGAACTTTCCCTTATTTTTAAAGAATACCGACACGTTTTCAAACATATATAGATTTTAAGTTCATTGTTTAGACCTAAGGTTGAAGAGACTAATCTCCTTTTCTCTTTTGTTTTTGGGAGCCAAAACCCTGTGGAGCTCCTTCTGAGAAAATCTTTCTAAACTATATTCTCTTATTGTTTCTTACATTGATTTCTACTTTAAAGATGTTTTGTTTTTTATGATCATGTCTGAGTAGTTCTTCTATTGGGTTTAGGGATTATCAATTAGGGATTTGGATGAATTAGTAAATCGAAAATCCTGTTAGGATAATATATTTAGAATTCTTCATCTTTGATTGTTCTTAATGCTATTTCTAGAGTAATTAACTAGAACTTGATTTTAGGATAATAAGTATACCTACCATAGGTACCTGTTATCAGAACTATCTTAGATGAGCCTAGTATTTAATTAGATGCGGACTAACATCGGTTTAGAACTTTAGATACTTATGTGAACTTATCAAACCTGATTATAATGCTTGTTTAGGTCTAGGGATTTACAAGAGAGTTGGGATCAATACTATTAAGCATAATGAGTAACACGGCACATCACCGGTTACTCTATAATAGTGATTTGAGTTCTAGAATAGTTCGATAATAATCTTAATTTACTGCTAAATCTCCTATTCTGATATTTCCTGAGAATTTTCCTAAACCCGACGTATTAATCATCTAAATCTTCAATCTCTTTTATTGCTTTCTTGTCTTTTATTTTATAATATTTTATGCTTAGTTTAATTTAAAACTGTTAGTCTATTGTGTGATCTGAGAACTTTGTAGAATTTGATCCCTAAGTGCTATAACAATCTCTTTCTTTGAGAGAGTAGTCATTAGGGTAATTTGACTCATATTAAAACGCTAAACCAGTTGTTCAAAACGCTGCAGAACCCTTAAAACCGCAACCGCCCGTTTCCGTAAACTCCCGCAACCGTAACTGCATCCGTTGCGTTTAAACTAGTGAGGCTTAAGCCCTGATATGAACTTTTTACTGTATGTATTTTGATGTGTTTTTTTCTTTTTCACAAGAAAAGTATTGTATTAAAAAAAAAGACAATTACACATGGCCTAAAAGCCCAATAAAAGATTAGAGAAAGTTTTAAGCCATTGAGGTTCATCTAGAATCTAATCTCGCTCACAGGAGAAGAAATTGGATTTTGACTCGATTATGAAACTAGTGTCGTCAAATGTGGGTAGAAACACGTGTCAGATGAATAGTCAAAAGTGAACCGACTTCAACTTTCCCGTCAGAGCTTCGATTTGGTGAAGGAATCACTCTCAATTTCTAGTTATAATAAAAGTAGAATATAAGTTCAAAAATTTGAAAACAAAAATGTAATTAAATCATAATATAATACTTAACCTAGACAATGCTTGAGTCATTTTCTAGTATTCATAGGAAAATAATTTAACAGTTCAATTTTCACTTCAAAACATAAAATTAGAGATTTTAACTTCTCTCCTTTCATTTTTCATAAAACAATCCTATTTTTCTTTTCTTATTATAATGAAATAATATTCTCTTTCGTAGATCATTCAACTAAAATCAATGATTAGATCAACAAAGGTACTTTTGGGTTGAGATTGTAGTTTTTGGATATTCATTTATTTCTGACTAGTATAAATATATAATAGAGTAAGAAATTGACCAAATATAAAAATAATAGATAAATGTAAGGCTTGAAATATTTATGTTTATAGGAGCGCATGCCTCTTTCCTGAGATGATATATGTATAATATTAAAATACATGTGCTCATTTCGTATTATTTCATACATAACAATAATATAGTTGTTGTAATCCTTATTGTAACCCTTATTGTAACCGCCCTGATTCTATATTATAGCTGACATCCTCAATGTGACTATTCACCCCTTTTACATTTGATAATGCTCTTCCTTGGTGATGTAATGAACTTGCTTTTGTTGAATTAGATACAACTTCTCCAACTTATCATTCAAAGCATTGATCTCCTTCCAAGGCTTCTCATCAGAATCTCTTGAGCTTCTTACAGTCTTCTCAAAATCCTCATTATAGTTCCCATCTGATTGAGCCAGATTCTCTACTAATTCCCAACCTCTTCAACTTCCTTATTCAGGAAATTCCCATTAAAGGCTGTGTCAAACAAGATCTTGATCTTTGGAAGAGCTCCTCTGTAAAGGGTGCTGAGTAATGATGCCTTCTTGAATCCATGGTATGGACACTGAGTAGTGATGCATTTAAATCTCTGTCATGCCTCACGACAGGATTCAAAGTTCTTCTGGTGGACGCCTGCTATTTCATTTATCAGTCTCGCTGTTCTTGAATTTGAGAAGAACTTGGCTAGGAAGGCTTTCTTGTTGTCATCCCAAGAACCAATGAAATGAGGTGGAAGAGTCTTCTCTCAAAGGTGGGCTTTGTCCCCTAGAGAGAAAGGAAACAGTCGCAGCTTGAAGTTATCCTCACTTACTCCATTTATCTTGGTTAAGCTGTAGAGCCTGTCAAAACTATCCAAATGATTGAGTGGATCCTCTATTGGCAAACCATGAAATTTGTTTCCTTGAATCATTGAGATCAATCCACTTTTGATCTCAAAATTGTTATTTTGGACATGAGGTGGAACAATTCCAGTGCGTTGGTGATGATTCTTTGGTGTATCACCATCACCAATATTCCTTTGCAACTCATTTTCATTATGAGCATATGCCATCTCTACTTGATCCTGGTGATCTGTAATGGTATTGGCTCTTTGATCTTTCAATTCGCGAGGTAACTGGTTAATGTTGTTGTTGTAGCAAATGAGATTGTCTGATCCTTTGGATCAAATGTGCATGCAAGAACGATGAGCTTACTCGATCAGAAGTCGAGCTCTTTGGTCGAGCTTGTACCTGCACAACAAAGACAAGTAGATAAAAATAGAAATTAGTATCCAAGATAATGTAAATAGAACTTGATCTCAATGATGCCAAAATCTTGAATGTAAAAAACAAACACCCAAACGGCAACAACGCCAAATTGATACTATGATTTTACTCAGTTCAATTCCCCTAGATAGCTATCATAGTCTTTATATCACTTGAGGTGTCAATCCAATTAGGTGAGATGTTAAGAGACAAGATGTGATCAGATAGATTTTTTAGTAGCTAACAACCTAAAGTGATCATGCAAAGAAACAAGGAAACTACATACCAAGAGCTATCATGCATAAGCTTGAACAAGGAAACTAAACAACTTAGCAATGGTAAAAAGCGATGCAAAAGCAATAAAGTGAAGCAAATAAGTCGAGCTAGAAATCGAGTATGAAGATAACAATTGAAATTCATATAAAAGTCCTAAGGATGGGGTTATTGATTATGGTAGAATCCTTAATATATTTAGATGGCTAAAAAAATCAATCAAACTATCCCTAGACGACATGTTCATTAACAGATTAATCCACTCTCATGATAGAAATCAACTCTCATTGACAAAATTTCAGATTCAACTCTCATTGACAAAATTTTACTAAACAAGCATTAAGATCCAACCTATTAAAGCCAATAAACATCCTCAACATCCAATCTTTTGGGCTAGGAATGTAAATCTTTGAAATTAGTTGGTTCAAAGATTTCATGAAACACTTTGTGCGCATGGAAATGTCTAGGCTCAACTTCCAATTGATCAGAAAAGAAATAACTTTAAGGACTACTAATCAAAAAGGGAAACCATGCAAATAACTATTTAACCACCTAAAGAAACTAAAAATTCCACTAAAAATCTCAATCCAATCCTCAAGAACTCTAAAACTACTCAGACATACTCAAGAACACAAACCCATAAAACATGGAAAAATCAAAAAGTCGTTAAAACTCAAGTATGTTGTAGCTTAGACAGAGATAAACAAGATTACTGAAGGAAACAAATGCAAATACTCAATAGATCCACATGAATTTGGATTAGAAATTGTAGATAAGTTATTGTCCACAGGATAAAAGTCTTTTTTGGTCAATGATCTAAGGTGTCCCTAAAACACAAAACGACAAAATATTAAGTCGGCTTAACATGGGCTGGACGTGTTATCAAGTTTTTCGGTCGAGCTGGAGTAACTCTTCGCGGTTGATCTTCTTTCTTCCTTGCTCGACTTGATGTCGAGTTCCTTAGTCGAGCTCCACTCTATCCGTCTTGCTTTGGTCTTTTCATCGAGCTAGTTCTCCTCCATCATCCTTTGGTTCCAAAATATGCTCAAAGCTCGTGTTCCAAAATATGCTCAAAGCTATGCTAATACATGATTATCAAAATAACAAAAAACAACGCAACATGACTATGAATGCACAAGAACAAAACTAATCTAAATGCAAAGGAAATGTATGCTAAAAACATGTAAAATACAGAAATATCATTCTTCAAAAGCTATACATGCACACTAATTTGAATGGACTTCATAATTCAATTAAAGAAGTATTGTAAGCTTTAACGATCATGACCTTAAGATCTTGAAGATCCATAACATCTTGTATCGATTCTATCTATGTGGTCACCGGAAGAAAAGACGCCATATCCGATGTGAGCTTGTTAGACTCAAATTTGAAAGCTAACACTTTATTTGCTTCTGAAATAATAAAATTCAGACCTTCGGAGGCAAAAGCTCCATAACCAGATCCTAATCTTCAATAGATGCACACCAATTAGTCATATGGATATATCAATGTCTTCTTCCATACTATTATCACCATCACCTTCCTCGTTGTATGTGAAAGGATGGATACATGTTATATGACCTTGTTTTAGTGGTTTATATTTGTGCGTTTCACTTCAGTCCTCTCGACTCCAAAGATGCAGAAGTGGCATACCATTTTTCATTGCTCTATCATTTTAGCATTCACATCAATTTTTTTTATATGTGTCTTATTTTTTTACTGAATATATTTATTAATTGAAGATTAATAAAACAATAAATATATTAAAAAAGTTAACAATGTTGTTGTATTTATATATTTATTGAATATTTATAGATTACCAAGCATATAGAAGAAATCACGCATGCTTCCTACTTTCAAGACCGATCATAAGTATTAACTAAGACTACTTAAATCTGTAATAGTTATTTAACTTTTTGGGTATTAGAAAATTTTCTCTCCTCTTATGGCGTTGACCTAAAACATTTCAAGTATATTTAAAAGTTCATTCGATAAATAATTATTGTAAAGCCCGTGAACCGGAAAATCGGTTAGGATTTGTATTTAAATCGTCCGGTTTAATCGGTTGGATTAATTGGAAACCCTAGAGTGTGTCTATAAAAGAAGAAAACTCGAAATTAGGGCTTTAGTTAGCCACTTTTCATTTTATAAAGGAGAAAAAGAGAGAGAAGGAAAAGAACCAGAATCGTTAGGGTTTGGGAGGAAACGGTTTCGACATATTAAATCGTGGTCAAAGTTTTGTGAGACACGTTTTCTCATACGCGAATTAGGACCAGCGGGGATTTTAACTGAGATCGTAGTCTCATCTGGTTTCCGATCGGCACGAGTTTTTGTGGGAAGCTTTGTGATGTCTAAGACTAGCGTTTCACCGGAGGGATTTAATAGTTAACGGTTGGTTTGTATTTTAGGGTTTCGTCTTTGAGACTGTTTGTTTCTGTTTTTCATGTTCAGTTTGCTTCAAGGTTGCTTTTGGTTGTAGGACGTTTCTGGACTATTTCAGACGCAAAGAGAGTCTCTCCTGGGTTTAATTGTTGTTAGAATCAATTTGTTAAGGTGAGTGCGTGACCATGAGCTTATCTGAGCGATTGGGTTGTATGATTTGTTTTGTGTGATGATATGTAGATGTGGTGAATGTGTTTTTGGGTGAAGTGTTCAGTGACTGGTTTGTTTATGTTTGTGGTTATACCCCTTTTATTTGCTTGTGTGTATAGCTCGTAGATGGGAGGATCGCCTCACTAAGTATTTATGATAATACTTACGCATCTCTTTCTTTTTGGTGCAGGTAAAGATAAAGTGTGATCGTGGAATCATAGCAAGGAAGAGAGGATGATCTACGAACTCATTTGGTTTATTTTAGTGTTTTGGTTATTGGAACCGGTTAGGATTGTGTTAGGATTGTTAGTTATTCTTGGTTTTGTTGGTTGAATTATTTATTTATTCATAAAATAGTATTTTTGACTTGAGGTTTAATTGTTGCTTTATTGGTTGATTTAATTAAGTATTTATGAGAATAATTAATTATGTTTTTTTAAATAAAAAAATGGGTCCGGTTGTTTCAATTATTTATATTTATTGATATTTAAGATGAATAAAATTTAAGTTAAATACAAATGTATCAATATTGTATTTTGTTTTTACAAAATATGTTATTAGTAATATCATAATTTGAATTTTAGTAACAACTTCTTCCAATTGATCCTATTTTAAATTTTAGACACATTTCAGTTTTAAAATTACTATATTACAATATTAATCTATTGGGTATTTCTAAAATTTATGAAAGCAGAAAAGTCATATTTTTTAATTTTCAAAGAATATTATATAAGAATTCTTATGATGAGTCAATAATTGGCTCTAAACCAAATGACCAAACCGTAGGAAGAAATAGAACCAGATTACCAAGAGTAATTGGCTTAATCAATTGTTTTATGCAAATAATAAATATTGGTCTTCCTTAGAGCATCCCCAATAGTTAAGAACCATTAACCTTGGACCTTAACAATAATTTCTATTAAATATTTCCTGTTTCTAAGCTAAGAACAAATAAAGGATGCAAATGGTTGCATATGGATGAAAAAATTGAAAACTTCTAGTTGAAATTTTTTGAATAATATACATCTCATTCCTCTGTGAAATAGGAGATGAACAAGCTAAAAAAATAATTCTTTATAATTACTTCATTTTCAAACTTATTCATTTCAAATGCTAAAAAATTTGGATGAATGCTCATTCAACTTCTTAATTTTAGTCAACCATTTGTACCCGAAGAGTATCTAAAGAAAAAAGCCCTCGTATGGTTCTTAAGGGGAAAAATTTAATTTTTTTTTGTATTTAGATGTTTTTCACTACAAAAAACCATACACACAACAAGCATTCATAGAAAGAAATAGAACAATTCGAAGACGAAAGTGAAACAAGATTGCCACTTTCACTTTGGCTTTGGTTCCGATGCTCTCCAAAATTAAACAAACACAAGTTTTATGATACTTGCTTTGTATTTTTCCTTTGAAAGATAACAGAGAAACCAAACCTGAAAAACAAACAAGAAAAGCATTCAATAGACCAAACCAATTAACAGATTTTGTCTTGCCAAAATTAAACAAACAAAAATTCATACAAACACTAATTCATTCATACA